CACGGTGGCTGCTGAGCCGGCTAGTCCAGCGTACGTCGGAGGTGAGGCAGGGAGGATTGCTTTGAGCCCAGGAGTTGAGCGTTGCTGTGAGCTAGGCTGACGCCACGGCATCACTCTAGCCTGGCAAAGCAACAGCGAGATCGCCGTCGTCTCAAAAAAAAAAAAATTAGCACACAATTGAATGTATGAAACTGTTGGGTTAGCTTGAAATAGTGGGGGGGGGGTGGTGCCTAAGATATTGCTTGGACAAAGAACCGTCAGTTGGATTGGTTGCACAGTGCTGCATAGGCGTGGCATTTCCCAACATGATAAGGACATTCCGGGAGGAGAACTGAAAACAGTTTCTCGTCCGCGGGGTGGAAAACTGGCTCCAGACGTGCAATCAGGAACGCCCACGCCTGCTGGAAAACGAGCCTGGGCTGCAATCCCAAATTGGATGTTGCTTGATCTTTTTTTTTTTTCTCCCTTTCGCTTTCGATCAAATTGGATGTTCTTGTTTAGCTTTAGGCCTGAAATAGGCTTTTGCTGAGATTTACTGTGTACCTAAATATCTTTGGAATCTTCTGATACAGACATCTTAAGAGTTTGCCTGTGGAGTATCTTGGATATTATAACTCATTTATGGAAATTACTAGAACATGTTGTGTCTTATTGGATGTCTGTAGAAAACAGTTTGTATGATTTAAATGATCTTTGTCTCCTTGGGATGAATTAAATATGGAGTCGAGGAATTGACTCTCAAGAAGCTTCTTGGTGCTTGAAGCTTGAGTCCCTGACTCCACTCTTTTCCTCTTTCTATTGTCCCGGTTTCTTATTATTTATTTATTTATGGTTAGCTTTATTTTGTTATATTTTTTCTGTAAGACAGGGAGTCGTCACTCTGTTCCCAGGCTAGAGCTGCGCGTGGCGTCAGCTAACTCACAGGGCAACCTCAACTCCTGGCTCAAGCGATCCTTCTGCTCACGCCTCCCGCGAGTAGCTGGGACTACAGCGGGCATGCCCACCATGCCCGGCTAATGTCTCTTTATGATATATGGTTGGTTTAGTTGCGTCAATTAATTTCTTTCGATATCTGTATAGTAGACGATGGCGTTTCCTCCGTTGCTCAGCTCAGGCTGGTTCGAACTCCTGGCCTGTGAGCGATCAGCCCTTGGCTTGGCCTCCAGAGTGCGTAGGATTACAGGCGGTGCAGCCGCACCGGCCCAGGCCTGAATCCACTGTGAACTGCGATAATTTTGCCATAGTTGAGTTGGGTTGCGTTGGTGGTCGTGTCTGCTGACCAAGAAAGTTGTATGAAGCACTGCGAGAGACAATAAGGAAGCCGATGCTTCATGAACTTTGCGTGGCGCCTGCCCCCTGAGGCCGCGGCCGGCGAAATACAAAGCTGATTCTCCAACGCCTCTGGTTGTGCGGCTCGAGTTCTTTCCCTGGCTCAGTCGCTGGGTCATGCTGGAACACTGCTTTAGGTCTACCGTTATTCGTTCACATTGCCTAACTTGAAAAAACTCTGGCGGGGAGGTCTCTGGATAAGACCGTTCACGAGCTTCTTATGACGTGTGGTATAAACCTGCCCCCTTCTTCAAGAAACACGTCATCGGCCGGTTGTGCCGAACAACTGCTTCATCGTGTGGAGGCTGACGGTTTCATCCTCCACATAAAGCCTCGTGTTGTTTAGCGGCTCAGTTTAAGGCGTTCATGGGGCCGTTGGCACATTTAAAGTTCAGGAGGTGCTAACTGTTGGATCACCCTGACAGGGAGACTTAGGTCTTGGAGCGGAGTGCTGACCTCAAATTCCCGCGAGTATGCGTGCTGGAGACTCAGAAGAAGATGTGGTGCCTTGAATTATCGCCCAGGTTCACGGCAGCCAGAAGGGCCAGACGGCAAGTAGGGGAAGGTTAGCGCAAGTCAGCTTCTTTTCCGAAGAAGGATAAGAAGAAGCAGACAGTGGGTGCTTGCTCTTACACAGCCTGGTAACCTTAGCTCAAGGGAGGAGAGAGAGGCGCGCAAAGAGCCTGGTATGCCTAGTCAGCGCTGACTCCAGAGGCCAGAAGGTGCTCGCTGATTGTGGCATCTAACAGTGGCCCCTCTCCCTTTCCAAGTGCGATTGGTATAGCAGAAGAGAGCGAAGTGAGAAAGTGAGAAAGTAAGTAGTAGGCTGAAGCCGAAGCGGCGCACGGGTGTCCCCACCACTCATAACATAAAAACTTTCAGGTGTCAGTTCAGGTAAACGAAGGGGCCTCTCTCGGTGTAACTTTTTCCTTGCCCGCGTCTCTGTCGTCTGAGTCCTAACCAATCGGTGTCCGTCTGCCGGTTAACCTGTATTTAAAGGAAAAGAAGAAAGTCACTAAATTCAGATGTCATCAGAGAAAGCATGCACCACCATGCCCGGCTAATTTTTTATATATATGTTTTAGTTGGTCAATTAATTTCTTTCTATTTATAGTAGAGATGGGGTCTTGCTCTTGCTCAGGCTCAGGCTGGTTTCGAACTCCTGGCCTTGAGCGATCAGCCTGCTTGGGCCTCCCAGAGTGCTAGGATTACAGGCGTGAGCCACTGCGCCTGGGCTGTCTCGTTTGTTATACCTGTGCAATGCCTTGTCTTGGACCCTGTAGGCTGGGGAATTTCCCGGCATAAAACAACACAAATTATCTTGCAGTCCTGGAGGTCACAAGTGCAAAATGGGTCTCACAGGGCTAACATCAAGGTGTCATCAGGGTAGCATTTCTTTTGGAGTCTCCAGGAGAGAAATAGTTCCCTTGCCATTTCCAGTTCCTAGAGGCTTTCCTCATTCCCTGAATTGTGGCCCCCTTTGAGCCAGCAATCACGTCTCTCAGATCTCTGCTACTATCTTTCTACCTCCATCTCTGATCCCAACTCTGACTCTTCTACCTCCCTCTTGTAAGGACCCTGTGATTTATTGGGCACGGCTGGATAATCCGGGATCCTCTCCCCATCTCAAGATCCTTAATCATGTCTGCAAAGGCCCTTTTGCCACGGAAGGTAACATATTTATAGATTCCAGGGGTTAGAGCATGGATATTTTGGAGGGATGTTATCCTACTGATTGGGAAAAGCCCCCACCTAGGCAAAATGCACTGCTGATTGGATACATGTGAAGCTTACGGCTGATCCTACTAATCCCACTGTGTGTTTGGTTTTTGTTTTTTTTTTCTGAGACAGAGTCTCATTTTGTTGCCCAGGCCAGAGTGAGTGCCGTGGCGTCAGCCTCGGTCACAGCAACCTCAAACTCCTGGGCTCAAGCGATCCTCCTGCCTCAGCCTCCCAAGTAGCTGGGACTACAGGCATGCACCACCATGCTCGGCTAATGTTTCCTATATATATTAGTTGTCCAATTAATTTCTTTCTATTTATAGTAGAGATGGGTCTCCCTCTTGCTCAGGCTGGTTTCAAACTCCTGACCTTGAGCAATCTGCCAGCCTTGGCCTCCCAGAGAGCTAGGATTACAGGCGTGAGCCACCGCGCCCGGCCTAATCCCACTGTGAACTGGATAATTTTGCATAGTTGATTGGTTGTGTGTGACCCAAGAAATGTATAAGACTGGAGAGAAATAAGGAAGCGATGCTCAGAATTTGGTGGCCTGCCCCCCTGAGCCCGCCGGCGAAATAAAAGCTGATTCTCCAACCCTCTGTGTGCCGCTGGGTTCTTTCCCTGGTCAATCGCTGGCCACTTGCTGGAACACTACCTTTAGTCTACCGTTATTCTACACTTGCCTAACTTGAAAAAACTTGGTCTCTGAAGGACCTTAATTTATGATGTGGGATATCTGCCCCTTCTTCAAAACACTCATCTGCCGTTGTCCGAACAACTGCTTCATCGTGTGGAGGCTGACTTTCATCTCCACATAAAGCCTTTTGTTTAGGGCTCAGGTTTAAGGTTCATGGGGCCTTGACATTTAAAGTTCAGGAGCTCTAGACTTGAGACCCTACAGGGAGACTTAGGTCTTGAGGGAGTGACCTCAATTCCGGGAGTAGGTGCTGAGACTCAGAGAAATGTGTGGTTTGAATTTCGCCCAGGGTTCAGGCAGCAGAAGGCAATGGCAATAGGGAAGTTTAGCAATCACTTTTTCGAGAAGGATAAAAAAGCAGAAGTGGTCTTGCCTACACACTTAACCTTAGCTTCAAGGAGGAGAGAGAGCCGCAAAGACCTGTATGCTAGTCACCTGACTCAGAGGCCAAAGTCCTTCTGATTTGGCATCTAACAGTGCCCCTCCCTTTTCCAAGTGGGATTTATAGCAAAGAGCGAAGTGAGAAATAGATACGTAGTAGCTGAAGGCCAAGGCCACAGTGTCCCCACCATATAACATAAAAACTTTCAGGTTATAGTCACAAGCTCTCTCTTAACTTTGTTCTTCCTCTCTTCTCTCCATTAATCAATGCGGTGTCCGTCTTGCCTTAACCTTATTTTAAAGGAAAGAGAAAGGTCACTAAATTCAGATGTCATCAGAGAAGAACTTTGGAACTTGGCATCCCCAGGGGTCTAGTCTATAGGGTGGGTGTTATCTGCTTCGTAGGCTTCCTGGTCACTAAAGACTCACATTCCAAGGCTAACTTCCCTCTTAGTCTGCCACCTGCTGCATAGACCAGACACAGTAAATACCTGAGACTCAGGAATGCGTCATCCTCAGTCCAAGCAGGTGGCAGTGGGCACACCTGAAGGAACAAAGTCCAGGCACGTTGCTGGCAGGAGCGATCAGCACAACAGACAGTTTCAGGAGAAGGAGTCCAGAGACAGGGCGCCATGACTTCTGAGAAAGGTAAAATAGATCTCAGGGGCTGGCAAACCCTGTATTCTTGAACAGCGAATCAAAAATCATGTGTGTGTGTGTGTGTGTGTGTGTCCTGTTCATGCTTGTGTCCTTAGTATTTTCCAATTTTCCTATCATTGACTAACATATTATTTTTAAATAAGATTTATCATTATTATGAAATATTTATTGGCCCAAAACAAATATTGGGCCAAATATTTGGCCCAAGTGATTTGGGCCAAATGACACTGAATCAGTGCTTGTTTCACCATAACAAAAAGTTAAGTAAAAATACAACTGTTTCAATAACAGTTTAAGATAAGAGCAGAAGTCATAGCACGAGGGCAACTTATTAACTAGAAAATGAATTGACAATGTTTAACTGATAAATTAATGTGCAATTATTTGGTTATTTAGCAAGATTCACAAGAGAGGGAGAACACATCAGGATGTGTAAGTAAATGATTTCAGATGAGGTGAGATTTGAGCAGAATCCTAAAAGAAAAGTAGAATTTAGATTGGCCAAGAGGAGGAGGAGATTCCAGGTTGATAGAATCCTATTGACAAACAGATTTGAGAGAATTTACAGAGACCTGTTTTTGGAATATAATGGTTAGGCTAGAGAAGAATTTATGGAAACAATCTGCAGTAAGACTAGAAAGCAAATGTGAAGTGATATTATAGAGGGCTCTGAACGCTAGGCTAAAGGAATGGAGGTTTATCTTTTTGGTAGAGAGAAAGTCTTCGGAGAGTTTCTGAATAGCATAGAGATGTCACTGAAATAGTGCTTTGTACTCTGGGAGGCCAAGGCGGGAGGATCGCTCAAGGTCAGGAGTTTGAAACCAGCTTGAGCAAAATTGAGACCCCCGTCTCTACTAAAAATAGAAATAAATTAGCCGGACAACTAAAAATATATATAGAAAAAATTAGCTGGGTATGGTGGCGCATGCCTGTAGTAGCTACTCGGGAGGCTGAGGCAGGAGGATTGCTTGAGCCCAGGAGTTCTAGGCTGCAATGAGCTATGATCATGCCATTGCACTCCAGCACTCCAATCTGGATGACAGAACGAGACCCTGTCTCTTAAAAATAAAAAAAAATAAATAAAAAACTTCAGTTTCCAATTCCTGCATTCCCCTGCTCAAAATGTACCCTGGGTCTGGAGAAGAATGTGCCTGTACCCAAGGACTCTAAGACCTATTTAATCATCTATCAAATCACCAATAAAAACCTAATCTCCAGGGTATTCTATTTCAGAAAAAGGAGCAAGTTAGGGACTTTTGGTCAATCCATGCATTTTTGTCACAGATCTCAATTCTCTTCCAGGAAATGCTTTTTACTGTGTATGTTTTGTTTGTTTGTTTGTTTTGTGGTTTTTATTGATGGCAAATTGTTTTAGGAATTTAGTAGCTCTAGATGCTGGCTTCCATTCAATTTTCCAGGGCCCTTGCTCAGTTACATTTCACGTGAATGGCTCAGACCTACTTATTGTAGAAAGCACCCATCGTGGCATATGGCTGGCTATCTATATGAAAAATAAAGTATCAAAAAGTGTACCATCTACCTCTCTCTAGCTTTAAAAGCAGTAAAAGCCTCAGATTCATTTCAAAATGTTCTTCTGATTTTGGAGATATACTCCAACAGACCAGTTCAACTTGAGTTCTATATCATGTACCTAACCGTTTAGCTAACAATTTGACACTGATGGTGAGGATACATATATTCTAGGCTCCATTCAATAGTAGTGACTTAGTACAAAATGCAGTTAGTTCAAATGATCCTGGCTGGGATGCCAAATTTAGATGTTTATGTTACAAGTATCATTGCTTCCCCTTTTCCTCTGTTAAATATTTACACACACACATGCTTATATGTACACAGTATGCCAGGACACCGAGTGAGCATTTTTTTGCAACCCAAACTAAAAATTCATAGGCATATGCGTGGCAAAACAAATACCGTGTTTCCCCGAAAATAAGACCTACCCATAAAATAAGCCCTAGCAGGATTTCTAAGCATTTGCACAATATAAGCCCTACCCAAAAATAAGACCTAGTGCTGGGCACAGCTACGCAGTGCATCTGCACAACCCATGCATTTCGTCGCAGAGCAGTAAAGAAGACGAGCAGCCCTTCTCACCTGCCCCATGAGAGCTCTATTGCTTGACATGAGAGACTGGGGCCAATGGTTCTAAAGGAAATAGGGTCGCAAGAAATTCAGGATGGAATTCAGGGTTTGGAGAGTTATGATGATGTTCCAGAAGAAGACAACTTAACTATATTTGGATAAATGTAGATTGTTGTACCGTACTTAAACAAAAATAACACATTCCCTGAAAATAAGCCCTAGGGTGTCTTCTTGAGAAAAATAAATATAAGATCCTGTCTTATTTTCGGGGAAACATAGTAGTAGAGATAAGAAAGAAAAGCATTCTTACAGAGAAGGCTCTCACCTAGGGATTGGCAGAGAGAAGACCGATTCCTCAAGACTCTCAACTTGACATTTAATGTCGTGATGTTTTTGCTATTGCAATAAACATAAAACAGGCATCTTTCCTACACTCTAGGATTCTGATGCAATAATAATAGTGCTTATTGTTTATTAAGCATATGCTGTGTCAGGCACCATGCAAATGTTTTATATCATTGTGTTCTTAGTGTCTGCATTTGGCAGATTAGGAAACCGAGGTTTAGAGAGGTTAGGGAACTTGCCAAATGTGTTTGAGAGAGTAATTGTCTAATTGGGATTATAGCCCATTTGCTTTCTGTTTCTAGAGCTTAAGAGTTTTGATTGCAACACTATGTTGCTTCCTCAGACTGCACTAATGCTCACGGATCTCTTAAGTTCATAGGACCCTTTGAGAGTCCAAATGAAGGGAATTGTTGATGCCAGGGTCTGCTGCCCCCTCTGGGGGATGGGGTCCACCCTCCACGCACGGTGAGGCCCGGGAGAGCATCTGAGCAAAGTGCTGCCTACATCACCCCAAACCCGGGGCCTCTGTTCTTTCCAGTCCAGGCTCTTGTCCAGGTAGTGATGCTGATTAGTCAGTCTGCCAGGTGAGGCACGATTTCATAACCAGGGATAGTGGATGGTGATGTGACCAGTGCCATCCACGGGAGTCACAGGACTGCAGTATATAAATCCTCAAATACACATGCTTCCTTTTGTGTTTTCAGACAAAAATCAAAGTCCATCAACACCTTTTCCTTTTTCTGTTTTCCAAATTACTGCACACCAATCCCTATTCCCCCGAAGCTGCCCATCTCTATGCCCGGATCAGGCCTCCGTCATGCCATAGCATGCACCTCCTGGATTTCCAGCTCATCACACGGGAAGCGATTGGTAATCCGGGCTACTTTGGCACCCTGCAATGTTTTCTTGGTGATTGATCTAACGCTAAAGTTGGTTCCTTCCCCATGTATGCAAACTGTTTTATGCTTCAGGGATCCAGATTACATGAAGTACTAGACTTTCACTTTCCGATTGAGGACATGGACAACAAATGGCATTCAACTGGTGCCTTTTTTTTTTCCTTTCTTTTTACTGTCTTTTTCTTCAGTTCTGTTTTTTTAACACTAGCCAATTTTTCTTCGGATTATTTTTCTACTTATTCCTAAATAAATATCTGAAGTTGAACATACTATATTCGTTTACTATCAACTTTATTCTTCATAATTTAACTTCTTACAAAATAAGATTTTAAATTGTTGATATGGTAAAATTAATCTTCTAAAATTTACTCTTTTATGAGGAGACCATCTAGTATAGTGAAAAGAACTTTGGAACTTTGGCATCAGACATATATACTATTTCTTTTCCTTTTTTTTTTTTAAGAGAGACAGAGCCTCACTCTGTTGCTCAGGCTAGAGTGCAGTGGCACAATCATAGCTCATTGTAACCTTGAACTCCTGAGCTCAAGCCACCTTCCTGCCTCAGCCTCCTGAGTAGCTGTGACTACAAGTCCACTGCCATGCCCAGCTAATTTTTTTTTCCTTTGGTAGAGACAGGGGTCTCACTATGTTGCCCAGGCTGGTCTTGAACTCTTGGCCTCAAGCAATCCTCCCACCTCAGCCTTCCAAAGTGCTGGGATTACAGGCATGAGCCACTGTGCTCAGCCTTGAATTACTATTTCTTAGATCTTAATGATTACATTTCCTGGACTTATTGCATTAGAGTTTTGTTATTTCTGAATTAGGTGACAAAAATATTTTAATGGTTGAATGGGTTGTGGATGGACACGCTTGAAGTTCTTACTCGAGGGGGAAGGGGGGCATGGGCAATATATGTAACCTTAACACTTGTACCCCCATAATACACTAAAATAAAAAAATAAAAATAAAAAATAAAAAAATAAAAGAATTAAAAATAAAAAACATGGTTAAATGGGTTGTGAAATAAATAAAGATGCTACTGCTGTTGAGTTTGATCACAAGGTCTAAGGCATAAGCAAAAAAGAGAGAGGTTAAATAAGGTAGAAAAATAAGGAAGGGGAAAATATGTTTGTACTGGATAGTAGTGAAGGTCATTCAATCATTTATTCAATAAATTAAATATCTATCTATTTTGGGCAGTGTGACAGTATCTGGAACAAGATATACACAATCCATATCTCATATAATTTACGACTTAGTGTTACTACAGTCATGCAAATAGGCAACCATGACACAGCATGATAATTGCTCTGATGAAGGAAGTACAGGAGACTATGAGGTCACATAGAAATTACACCTAGGAGCCTCTGAGAGGTGACTTCCCATTGCACTTAATCATGTCTGTTGGGGCCTTGGGGAGGATTACCTGGTTTGGGATTGGGTGTCTGGGCAAACAGATTTCAGCAGAGCCCTTAAAAATCTTGCTTTGCTCTGGCAAAAATGAGCTCGTTCAATACAATTAATCCAGGAGAGAGTCTTCTGATTCCATTTTCTGGCACGATTTGCAGGTTTGGAAGAATAGAGCACTTTTTCTTAGCAACTCAGTTGGCATTTGGCTGTTATTTGACGTAATCATCTCTTGGTCAACAGGTCCTTCAGCCGGTGACCCCACTCTGAAGTAAGAATGAAACCATCACAGCGCACACTGAACTCAGTCAAGACTAAATGCTTTGTTTTCTCTCTTGAGCCATTGTGGTATCTGGCCTGTTAATTATGTTGGGTTGAACTTTGTTGCTTTGTTTTCTCTCTCGAGCCAAGTCAAGACCAAATGCATCTTTGCGAGCAGCAGGACTACAGCTTGCTTTATTGTTCCTTTTGGCATGGTTCCATTCTTGCCTTCTTTTTGCCTTTTCCAACTTCATTCTCTGTGATTATTGCTTCTTATCTTTGCTCTTATGTTCTTTGGTTTCTGTTTTAAATAAATTACCTTCTAGCTTTAATCTGTTACAGTTTTACTATTCTTCTTCTCTCTTTAAATCACATGGATTTCTTTTTTTTTTTATAAATGAAACTCAAGATTTCATTGTTCTTTTTTCCCTGGAAAGTTCCATCTCTCTCTTTTTTTTTTTAATAGAGAAGAGCTGTTGAATAATTAGTCACCCTGCTTATCTTCTTAGAAGACTATCTAGACTCTATTTTTTTTTTTTTTGAGAGACAGAGTCTCGCTTTGTTGCCCAGACTAGAGTGAGTGCCGTGGTGTCAGCCTGGCTCACAGCAACCTCAAACTCCTGGGCTCAAGCGATCCTGCTGCCTCAACTTCCCCAGTAGCTGGGACTACAGGCATGCGCCACCATGCCCGGCTAATGTTTCCTATATATATTAGTTGGCCAATTAATTTCTTTCTTTTTATAGTAGAGATGGGATCTCGCTCTTTCTCAGGCTGGTTTCGAATTCCTGACCTTGAGCAATCCGCCCGCCTCGGCCTCTCAGAGTGCTAGGATTACAGGCGTGAGCCACCTTGCCTGGCCTAAATCACATGTTTTGATAGCCATTAGTGCAATGTCTGGGGAACTCATTTTGTGACTTTGACTTCTTTTCAGACTATCTGCCCATTTTCCAGACATATTATAATGGGGAGATCATGTTAAGGAATATATTATCTCATGATAGGTGGAAGGATTGAGCTATGTGATAAATGAATGTGATACTTTAGGGATAGCGGGAACTGTTAGGAAGTAATAAGCTTATAACTTAACCACATGACAAAGAAGGGTCCTCAGCACAATCCTGTTTCCCCTGAGTCACAGACATGGATAGTGTTAAATCTAAAGATACCATTGACAGCCATCGGAATTTCTTTCTTACGAGGAATTACTATACAGAATTCTAATGTAGAAGAATCTTGAGGCTGAATTACTCTTTTCTTAGACTCGACAGTAGGATCTAGTTGGCAATTTGAGGTCTCAACACTTAAGAAAATATGGTTAAAGCCAGGTGTGGTGGCTTACATTTATAATCCTAGCATTTTGGGAAGCCAAGAATGGAGGATTGCTTGAAGTCAGGAGTTTGAGATCAGCCTGAGAAAGAGCAAAACCCCTGCCTCTACTAAAAATAGAAAAATTAGCCAGGTGTGGTTGCTCTCACCTGTAGTCCCAGCTACTTGGGAGGCTGAGGTAGGAGGATTGCTTGAGCCCAGGAGTTTGACATTGCTGTGAGCTGTTATGACACCACTGTACTCTAGTCTGGGTGACAGAGTGAGATTCTGTCAAGAAAAGAAAAGAAAAGAAAAGAAAGAAAAAAATCTGGGTAAAGTCCATCATTGAGGAATAGTAAAGATAAGAATTAGGACATGGTAGCTGTGGGTATGAAATAGAAAGATTAGGATATAGCCAGGTGCGGTGGCACCTGCCTGTAGGCTCAGCTACTCAGGAGACTGAAGCAGGAGGATCTTTGAGCCTAGGAATTCAAGGCCAGCCTGGGCAACATAGCAAGACCTTGTCTAAAAAACAAAACAACAATAAAAGGAGATTAGACTTTAACGAGGCTTTATTTTTTTTATTTATTTATTTTTTTAAAGGCTGGTCAAGTGGAGCAGTGGGAGTGGAGAAGGAACAAAGAATCTGTAACTGGTTGTGATCAATTAGTTGTAAACACCACTGCACTCGGACCAACCCGAGGAAAGCTTTAAAAGAGAAACTAGGACACACTTATGCCTGAATTCAAGACTAAAATGCAATGGTGTTAGAGAGTGGTCAACAGATAACACGACTAGGAAAAAGACCTCTTCACTATGTTCGTAAGAGAAAATCTGATAATTCTAGCTAACTCTGAGGCATAGAAGATAAAAAATGTTGCCTGCGATGTCATGTTTCAGATCTGCCTGATAGAAGAGGGGACTAGGAAATGATGCCTAAGGTCCCCCTAAGGACTGCATGACAATGTGGGGTGTTTTTACATTCCAGGAGGAGAATTGAGCCCTGGGAATTTGAAGCCTTCTTTGACCCCAGAGAACTGCGCAAAGAGGCCTGTCTGCTCTATGAAATCAAGTGGGGCGCAAGCCACAGGATCTGGAGAAACACAGGCAAAAACACCGCCAGTCACGCTGAAGTAAACTTTATAGAAAAATTTACCTCAGAAAGAGATTCTGACTCTCCCATCAGCTGCTCCATCACCTGGTTCTTGTCCTGGAGTCCCTGTTGGGAATGTTCCAAAGCTATTAGAGAATTTCTGAGCCAACACCCCAGGGTGACTCTGGTCATCTACGTAGCACGGCTGTTTTGGCACGTGGATCAACAAAACCGGCAAGGACTCAGGGACCTCATCAACAGCGGGGTCACTGTCCAGGTTATGAGAGTCTCAGGTAAAAAACAGCACACTAAGAATCTCAATTGTTCATGAGAGACTGGAGGTAGCCGCTGTTTGTAGGCCAGAAGATTGGTTATCTCAGACCGGAAGTCTCAGCAGTGAAAGTCTGGAATAATGTGAGAAAGGCCTAGGTCTGAAATTCCTGGCAAGGAAAGTATCGAAAATAACAACTCCTTTCTATTGCCAAGGTGCCTTACAAAAAGGACAAAATAATTTAAAAAATAAAAAAAAAAGAAAATAAGAACTCCTTTCTTCAGTCTTGCCACTGGGGCCTCTCAGCCATCTTCAGATGAGCTGCTTTATTCTTTTCAGGGAGCCTAGCCACCCCCAGCAGCAAACAGGTCAGAGGTTTTATGTGTGGTACACTTCACGTTGGGGCTCCCTCGAAGTAATTTAACCATCGTGCTTACTGAATGGTCCAGATTTGTGTTTCCATAGAGTACTGTCACTGCTGGAGGAATTTTGTCAACTACCCACCTGGGAAAGAAGCTTCCTGTCCAACATACCCACCTCTGTGGACGACGCTGTATGCACTGGAACTGCACTGCATAATCCTGGCAAGTTACTTTAAGGGGCACAGATTCTAATGCAAAAAGAAGTTCCTTCTTCAAAGTTTTTGTTTCTTGGTTTTTATTGAGACTGGGTTTCACTCTGTCACCCAGGCTGGAGTGAAGTGGCATAGTCACACATCACCGCAGCCTCCAACTTCTGGGCTCAAGCAATCCTCTTGGCTCAGCATCTCAAGTAGCTGGGACTGCAGGTGCTCATCATCATGCCCCGCTATTTATTTAATTTGTGTTGAGATGGGTTTTCACTATGTTGCCCAGGCTGGTCTCAACCTCCTGGCCTCAAGTGATCCTCCTGCCTTGGCCTCCCAAATTTTTAGGGTTACAGGGGTTATGGGAATGAGCCACCACACTCAATCTTTTTTTTTTTGAGAGAGTCTTTTGCCCAGGTTAGAATGCCCTAGTATCAGCCTAGCTCACAGTAACCTCAAACTCCTGGGCTCAAGCAATCCTCTTGCTTCATCTTCCTGAGTAGCTGGGACTACAGACGTGTGCCGCCATGCCCAGCTAATTTTTTCTATTTTTAGTAAAGACAGGGTCTCACTCTTGCTGAGGCTGGTCTCAAACTCCTGACTTCAAGTGATCCTCCTATCTCAGCCTCCCAGAGTGCTAGGATTACAGGTATGAGCCACCACACCCTGCCAAAATTCTTTCCTGAGGATTTTGACACATATTCTTATCATATTTTTGCCATTTATATTGAAATTGAGTTATTTAACTAGTTGGTCCATCTTAAGAAAACTTGAGAACAAGGACATTTTTTTGTGGGGGCTGGGCGTGGTGGCTCACGCCTGTAATCCTAGCACTCTGGAAGGCTGAGGTGGGTGGATTGCTCAAGGTCAGGAGTTCAAAACCAGCCTGAGCAAGAGGGAGACCCCGTCTCTACTAAAAATACAAAGAAATTAATTAGACAACTAAATATATATAGAAAAAATTAGCCAGGCATGATGGCACATGCCTGTAGTCCCAGCTACTAGGGAGGCTGAGGCAGGAGGATTGCTTGAGCCCAGGAGTTTGAGGTTGCTGTGAGCTAGGCTGACACCATGGCACTCTAGCCCGAGCAACAGAGTGAGATTCTGTCTCAAAAAAAAAAGACCTAAAACAGTAATTCAAGGCCAAGCATGGTGGCTCACACCTGTAATCCCAGCACTTTGGGAGCCTGAGGTGGGAGGATTGCTTGAGGCCAAGAGTTCAAGACCAGCCTGGACAGCATAGTGAGACCCCCATCTCTACCAGAAAAAAAAAATTTCTTTGTGGGAAGTAAGTGGGAAATGGGAATTTGGGTAAAGTGGTCTCAGATATATGTGGATTCCTTTATTTATTCCATTTTATCATTATAATTGTTGTTATTACAACACACAAAGCTCTATAGTATTTCAAATATTGTCATCTTATTGAATAAATGCAGGTGTCTCATTTGGAGTCTCTTGAAAGTAGTTCAGTGGTCTTCTAATTGACATTTTAAATGTTCGTGGTAATAATAGTATTAATTAAAGTTTTTATCCTAAGAATTAAATATAATCCTTTTTTATTCCAGAGTCTTCCACCCTGTTTAAAGATTTCAAGAAAACGTCAAAATCAGCTTACATTTTTCAGACTTACTCTTCAAAATTGCCATTACCAAACGATTCCGCCCCACATCCTTTTAGCCACAGGGTTGATTCAGCCTTCTGTGACTTGGAGATGAAGAGAATGGTTCCTTGCCCGGACTGTCTCAAGAAGGAACCATTGCGATCCACTAAAGAGTGAATGCCATTAAGAATCTAGAAATGTTCACAAATTATCCCAAAACTTTGTAGCTTAAAACAATAATAAATATTTATTATCTCTCACAGTTGCTGTGAGTCAGGAATTTAGAAGCAACTTATCTGTCTGTTCCTTGCTTGGGGTCCCCTACATGGTTGCAGTCAAGATATCAGGCAGGAGTTAGGCGTGGTGGTGCATGCCTGTAGTCCCAGTTACTCAGGAGGCTGAGGCGGGAGGATTGCTTGAGCCCAGGCATTCGAGGCTGCAGTGAGTTATCATTGCACCACCACACTCCAGCCTGGGTAATAGAGTGAGACCCTGTCTCAAAAAAGAAAAAGGAAAAAAAGATGTCAGCCAGGTTTGTAGTGATCTGAAGGCTTGGGTGAGGCTAAAAATGTGCTTCCCAGGTAGCCCATTGACATGGCTGCCAAGTTGGTGTTCCTGGCTGTGGGAAGGTCTCAGTTTCTTGCCACATAGGGCTCTCCACAGGCCTGCTTGAAAGTCCTCATGACATGGCAGCTGGCTCCCTACAGGGCAAGTGGTCTAAGAGAGGCCAAAGTCTTTCCATGGCCTGTAATGACTTAGTCTTGGAATCATATCCCATTTCCTCTGCAGTATTGTATTGGTCACATAGGCCAGCCATGACTCTGCAGGAGGGAACTGCACACAGGACCTGAATCTCAGGAAATGAGAATCACTGGAAGCCATCTAGGATGTCCCCTGTAGGGACTTTCTCTGTGTTTTCAGGACAAAAAATTACATGGAGCCAATTTCTAAAAACATAGCTAGATGCTGCCTAAAATATTGAAGCTTGCTTCCCAGTCATAAATACATAATAAATGTGAACATAATATGAAAAAAAAAAACACAGCTAGAGAGAAACAAAGGACAAAGTAGCATCTATTTTTATTTGTTTCTGATTTAGAACATCATAAGATTTAATAAATGATTTATTCATCAGAATTTATAGGATGATTTATTATTATAATGACAATAACTCCAAAATTTGAGTAGCTTAACACAAAAAAAGATTTATTTCCTGCTCTCATTGCAGTTTATTGCCAGCTGAGTGGGAAAGTCAGGCCTCCGAGTCCTCTACTGAATTATCTGCACTGAGCCAGCAGCGGGGCAGGGGGAGCATTGCAATAGTGTGGAAGAGTGTTTTTAGGGGCAAGAACTGGCGAGCATCACAGACACACCCAGAAGAAGGCCGGGGAGGATGGAGACAGAGATTGGGGCTGAGCCAAGGAAGGCCAGCAGCCTCCACAAGCTGCCTGGGCAGCGTCATCCGAGCGCCACCTAAATCAGAACAGGTGTCAACCAAGTAGATGGCCAGTCTGGTCACACTCTGTTGTTCTGGCAGAGTATCAGCCCAACCTATAACATATACATATTAGGATCGTTTAATGACATCTTTGAGCACACTCTGTTGTCCTGGGTAGAGTGCAGTGGCATAATCATAGCTCACCGCAACCTGAAACTCCTGGGCTCAAGTGAGCCTCCTGCCTCAGCCTCCTGCATAGCTGGGACTACAGGCATGTGCCACCATGCCTGGCTAATTTTTTCTAGTTTTGGTAGAGGCAGGGTCTCCCTCTTGCTCAGGCTGGTCTCAAACTCCTGACCTCAAGTGATCCTCTGGCCTCAGCCTCCCAGAGTGCTCAGATTACAGGTGAGAGCCACCACATCCTGCCCCCACTTCCATTTAAAAATTCTATCTAGTATTTTCTCCATGTGCATGGATTGTCAAAGCTTATTGAAAGCAGGGACTTTGTGCATTTATAAATTTAAAAAGTTTTTCATATTTCCCCGTGATGTTGGTCACAATGCTATGCACATATTAATAGTATAGTTGGTCAGTAAATATTTGGCAGAATGAATGAATAATTAACAGGCTCAGTATTTCTGTCTAATGAAATCTTAAAAATAACCATTGACTGTACCACAGAGTGATTCTTCGTAAAGTGGAAGAAGAACACCGTAAAGTGGAAGAAGAACACTGCAATAGACTAAGCAAGAGATGTCCATGGTTTGCACTAAGGTGTAGCAATGTTTTCCAGCCAAAGACCGCCAGGAACGCACCTGGGTTCCTTACTCATTGCAGGGAGGAAGGACACATATCGTGGGAGCCATGAGGTGTCTCAGGGAGAGGGTGTTAGAAAGAAACAGTTATAGAATTTGGGCTTTGGGGGGTAGGGGGGCATGGGCAATATATGTAACCTTAACACTTGTACCCCCATAATACGCTAAAAAAATTACTATATATATATAGTATATATATATATATATATATATATATATATATATAATAGAAATCTGGGCTTTGGTTAGGAGATTTGAGGGGAAGGTGAAAGAAAATGAAGATTTGTTCTGGATCTGACGGTGTTAGGAAATGGGGTCGATTGCATGGCTGGGTATGTGAATAAACGTTCCCTCTAGAGAGGGCAGACCAGAACAAGAACAAAGCAGTAATTGGTAGAGAAGTAGCATTACTCATTTTAGCTAAGAGAGGGAGTGTTTGATACTTCGTGGGCAGCACAGTGACCTTGTCTGTGTTTAGACAAAATTATGAAATGGCTTTGTTTCCCCTTATCACCGTCTCAGAGTAACCTTGTCTGAGGGTGGTATTCTATAAGATTGTTTATGTCCAACAAGAAAATAATATGGCCTAGTTGTGAGTGTCGAGCCAGTTTTCAACTCTCAGGGGCTGTTTTCATCTTTCTCAGGTGGCAGTAGAAGAGACAGGAAGTCTGCACAACTGGCTATGGGACAGAGGGTGACGTCAGTGGTGATTTCTAGGTTTCTATCTTGCAAACAGAAAGGATGGCAATGCTGATAGTACCGGCTTTGTATTATCTTCCAATTTAATACTTACCAAACAACATGTGAAATGTTAACATTATCATACCCATTTTACAGATGAGAAAATAAGGCTTTATAGGGGATAATTATCACAAGGAACCAGAATTCAAATTTAGGTTTGCCTGGCTCCAAAATCATACTGACTTTTTTTGTTTGTTTTGAGACAGAGTCTCGCTTTGTTGCCCAGGCTAGAGTGAGTGCCGTGGCGTCAGCCTAGCTCACAGCAACCTCAAACTCCTGGGCTCAAGCAATCCTCCTGCCTCAGCCTCCCGAGTAGCTGGGACTACAGGCATGCGCCACCATGCCCGGCTAATTTTTTCTATATGTATTAGTTGGCCAATTAATTTCTTTCTATTTATAGTAGAGACGGGGTCTCGCTCTTGCTCAGGCTGGTTTCAAATTCCTGATCTCGAGCAATCCGCCCGCCTGGGCCTCCCAGAGTGCTAGGATTACAGGCGTGAGCCACCGCGCCCGGCCTCATACCGATTTTTAACCACTTCGGAGGGCGCTCACGGCCGCGACACCTGGCCCGCGGGCGGCACTCACAGTCGCACGGTGGTCTGTGCAGTGCACTGACGGCCACTCCGTTTTGCTCTTGTGTGACTGGGGACAGCTTGAAAGCCCTGAAAGCTTGTTTTACTTTACAGGCAGCTTTACTTGTAATGTAAACCAGAATAGGTAACACATACACATATGTTTTCATTACGTTCTTTTTCTTTTCTTTTTTTTTTTTTGAGACAGAGTCTCGCTTTCTTGCCTAGGCTAGAGTGAGGTGCCGTGGCGTCAGCCCTAGCTCACAGCAACCCAAAACTCCTGGGCTCAAGCGATGCCTCCTGCCTCAGCCTCCCAGTAGCTGGGACTACAGGCATGCGCCACCATGCCGGCTAATTTTTATATATATATATTAGTTGGCCAATTAATTTCTTTCTATTTTATGGTAGAAGACAGGGTCTCGCTCAGGCTGGTTTGAACTCCTGACCTTGAGCAATCCGCCCGCCTCGGCCTCCCAAAGTGCTAGGATTACAGGCGTGAGCCACCGCGCCCGGCCCGTTATTTTTAAATGTTCACAATTTTATTTGGATAACTGAAAAATTAGAAAAGTCATATCACGGCTGTTGGCTAAAGTCGACGCTCGGCTGTGCACGTTCATCTGTGGCTGTCGACTATAGTCGACACTTGTACAGAAGTGGTTACAATTTAAGGTAAAATTACATAATTCAACTAATTCCGGACCATTTTCGTCACCCCAGGAAAAAAAAAAAGCCATTCACTTTAAGTAGACAATCCCAATTCCTCCCTCCCTGCAGCCTATGGCAATCGCAAATCTTTCTGTCTTTATGGAATTTCCTACTCTGAACATTTCACATAAATGTCATCATATAGTATGTGGCCTTTTTTTTTTTTTTGAGACAGAGTCTCGCTTTCTTGCCTAGGTTAGAGTGAGTGCCGTGGCGTCAGCCTAGCTCACAGCAACCTCAAACTCCTGGGCTCAAGCGATCCTCCTTCCCCAGCCTCCCAAGTAGCTGGGACTACAGGCAGCACCATGCCCGGCTGATTTTATATTATAATATTAGTTGGCCAATTAATTTCTTTCTATTTTTATGGTAGAGACGGCTCTCGCTCAGGCTGGTTTTGAACTCCTGACCTTGAGCAATCCGCCCGCCTCGGCCTCCCAGAGTGCTAGGATTACAGGCGTGAGCCACCGCGCCGCCTACGTATGTGGCCTTTTTTATCTGACTTCTTTCACATAGCATGTTTGAAGGTTCATTCACGTAGCATGTATCGGTACTTTATTCCTTTTTATGGCTGAATAAAACTCCATTTTGTAGATATACCACTTATCTACCTATAGGTAATAAACTTGTTCATTCATCAGTTGATAGACATTCAGGCGTGTCTGCTTTTTGGCAATTATGAATATTGCTGTTTTGAATATTCATGTATGAGTTTTGCTTGATCATGTTTCTAATTCTTTTATTTTATGTTTATTTATTTTTTAATATGGGGAGTGAGAAGTGGGGTTCAGTTTTATTTATTTATTTTTGTGTGTGAGACAGAGACTCACTCTGTCACCCTGGCTAGAGTGCAGTGGTGTCATTATAGCTCATTGCAGTCTCAAACTCCTGGGCTCAAGC